AGGTTACATGACTTTTACATCATACATTGGGGCTTGTATACAGATCCTAAATGACAGCCCAGTCCCTCCCCCTCCATGCCCAGTAACTTAAAAAATACACAGTGGGTAGGATGTCACATCTTGATTGATGGAGACACCGCCTCCCATAAAAGTATGTGGGCACAAGCTTTAGTGGAGGGTGCATGTGATCAGCACAGAGCCAGAGAGCACTATCCAAACAGAGGGTCATGGGCCATGCAGCCTCAGCATGGAGGAAACTCAAAGAAGAAAGAAAACTCCTCCTAGAAGCTGAACCAGCACTCGACCAGACACAGTCACATGACTGCTGTATACTGCTGCTGAGAAAAGGTGTTTAGTGGTTTCACTTTGCTAAAATAAAAGCGTTACCATGATTTATGCACTGTGATTTATGACACCTTATAGTGTTAATTCAGTGTCATGAGTTTATTATCACTTTAACTGACATGGTGAACAAGCCCTTAAGTAGATCTTTTTTTTTTTAAAATGATAAAATGACATACAATATATTGCCAACAGTATTGGGACACCCCCTCCAAATCATTGGATTCAGGTGTTCCAATCACCTCCATGGCCACAGGTGTATAAAATCAAGCACCATTATTTATTCAATATTCTTTACTTTCAGTATCTTGCGGAGAATTTAATATTAATCTAGTATTCTTTATGATATATATATATCTTACATACACTATATTGCCAAAAGTATTGGGACACCCCTCCAAATTATTCCAATCATCTCCATGGCCACAGATGTATAAAATCAAACACCTAGGCATGCAGACTGCTTCTACAAACATTTGTGAAAGAATGGGTTACTCTCAGGAGCTCAGTGAATTCAAGCATGGTACCGTGATAGGTTGCCACCTGTGCAATAAGTTATCCCAGAAATGTCCTTGCTATTACATTTTCCACGGTCAACTGTTAGTGGCATTATACCAAAGTGGAGGCAACTGGGAACAGCAACTCAGCCACAAAGTGGTAGGCCACATAAAATGACACAGCAGGGTCAGCGCATGCTGAAGCCACCAACTGTCTGCAGAGTCAATAGCTAAAGACCTCCAAACTTCATGTGGCCTTCAGATTAGCACAACAACATTGCGTAGAGAGCTTCATGGAATGGGTTTCCATGGCTGAGCAGCTACATCCAAGCCTTACATCACCAAGTCTAATGCAAAGCATTGGATGCAGTGGTGTAAAGAACGCCACAACTGGACTCTAGAGCAGTGAAGACATGTTCGCTGGAGTGACCAATCACGCTTCTCTATCTGGCAATCCGATGGACATGTCTGGGTTTGGTGGTTGCCAGGAGAACAGTACTTGCCTAACTACATTGTGCCAAGTGTAAAGTTTGGTGGGGGGGGGGGGGGATTATGTTTTGGCGTTGTTTTTCAGGGGTTGGGCTTGGCCCCTTACTTTTAGTGAAGGGAACTCTTAAGGCGTCAGCATACCAAGACACTTTGGACAATTTCATGCTCCTAACCTTGTGGGAACAGTTTGGGGATGGCCCCTTCCTTTTCCAACATGACTGCACACAAAGCAAGGTCCATAAAGACATGGATGAGCGAGTTTGGGGTGGAGGAACTTGACTGGCCTGCACAGAGTCCTGACCTCAACCCAACAGAATACCTTTGGGATGAATTAGAGTGGAGACTGCTAGCCTGGCCTCCCTAATACACTTCTATAAGAATGGTCAAACATTCCCATAGACACACTCCTAAACCTTGTGGACAGCCTTCCCAGAAGAGTTGAAGCTGTTATAGCTGCAAAGGGTGGCCCAACTCAAAATTGCACCCTACGGACTAAGACTGGGATGCCATTAAAGTTCATGTGCGTGTAAAGGCAGGCATCCCAATACTTTTGGCAATATCGTGTATGTGATGAAAGCTTCCCATACCAGTAAGACTGGACTCTCTGTTATTATAAACACTCTCTTGAATAATTTTAAAATCCTACCAGTAGAACCACTGAATAGGTTGCTTTCTTTAACAGAGTAACAACACTGTTCCTCCTGCAGTAAACTTGCTGCTGCTGTAGCTGCTTCGATGCCCAGCCCTATCAGTGGACAGACATGCCAAGCTTTGCCCAAAAGACCATTTAAATGCAAACACCTTACTCTGTCTGTAGGAGCTGAGGGAAATGATGCAATGTCATTACACAGTCATGTTCACAGACAGTCATACATGGTGACCTGCATAGTCTTTCCCACCTGCCCCAGACTTTCTATCAGGGTGTCTGAGAATCCAGCTTCCAAGTTGTATTTAACATAAAAAAGATAACATTTAAAAAAAACCTTTTCACCTACGTAAGGTTTCTTTTCTGCTCTTTACCTGCCCGAATTTCATTCACCAACTATGATACATTTAGGTCTTTTAGTCTTAAGTATGGCCCATTTGGGCTTGCCCCAGGAGCCTCTCAGAGGTTGCTTTATTTCTTTTTCCCCCTTTATTTTTATGATGACACTCTTGTCCTAAAGATGAGCATGCCTTTGAATGACCCAAACAGGGCCCCAGCAAATGTTTCAGAGAGTCCACCATGGGGACCTGTGAATAGTGCTGTCCCTGCTTTTTGTCATCTTTAATAATGGATCACAGGACTGTTCTATGTAATGGTTTATTAACAACACTGTTTCTTGTTTGCTTTTTTAAAATAATTTTTTTAAAATAAAGATTTAAAAAAATATGTTAAAAAAAAAACTTTATTAAAAAATGGTAGTTTAATGGGGAACTAAGTAACCTGCAAATCCAAGGCCATTTAAAAAGAATTGGCAGATAAATATTTTCACCTTCTCCATCATTGAAGAGTATATTCTAGGCATCTTTTAGAGCTATAACAAATTTGCACCATATATACCCGAAGCTAGTACAAATTGGTAGAGCTGGCATCAGACACTGACTTGAGGGAAAACATTGTGTTACATCAGTGACCGGCCAGCTCAACAAACCAGAATTAGCCCTATAAGATGAGTACTGACCAAACAGTTCAGGAGATACTAAAGGTTTTAGGAATAACTACGGTAGGTTAAGATTAAAGGACAGTTAGGTGTAGAAAACAAGGGTTACATTGAAAAGTAGGAGTTAAGGATATGGGAATCAATAGGGTTAGGATTAGGTAGTGTTAGAGGTTAACTTTCAAAGTTAGGTTGGGTTAAGAATTAACACAAATGAGGTGTTAAGAGTTAGACAACAAGTTTTAATGGTAGGCTTACTGTTTAGAGATATTTTAAGGGTTGACTGTTACGGCTGGGTGTGGTGAAGTGCTGGGGTGAAGATACTGTAGATGGTAGGGATAAGTGATAGCTGAGCTGCACACAGGTGATAAGGGGGCAATTTAGGTTTGAGTTTTAGATTTAGGTTTCAGGCAATAAAAACAACATATATTCACTGGGGTTCGTTTGGGCAAAAAAATTAGAAGAATCAATGAGGACTTGACTCTGTTCTGTTTATAATGTCTGAGTAGGATCCATTTTACCCTGGCTGCTAGAAGTGTAAAGGCAACATCCAAGAGGCGCTGTTGTTTCATTAATAAGTAGTAAAGGTAAAGAAAACAACCATTCAAAAAAGCTCACTGGCTTTGGTTAGACGGCTCACATATGCAAGGCGGGCTACCCTCCAATATGCACTCAGGAACACTACAGCTTAAAGAAAAAGAAGGAGCACCTGACCAAATTCAGAAAGGATTCCAAAACAGTCACCATGTTTCGGAGGCAAAACATCCTCCTCCTTTATATGGACTACAAGACAAATACAAAGATGTAAATATTTACAAAAATAAAAAAGATTAAAAAAAGTAAATTAAAAAAAATATAGGACGATTTCAGTCAGTATAATTTGTAGCAATTTTTATCAGTGGTCTTGTTTTTACTGAATTGCCCGTATTATACTGCATGTTGGTTTATGCTGAAACCTTTTATTCATATATTATAATACTTTATAATATGATATTATTCGATCATTATATTGTTATGAATTATTTTTTATTCAACTCTACTTTAGTACTTGTATGAAAGATATTTTTGGTCTTGTTCATAATATGCTAGATTTAGCTACTATGCACCGTATAAGTCCCATCATTTTTTAATTTCTAATTTTTTTATATATTTTTGTATCTTTGTATTTCTCTTGTAACCCTGATAGAGGGGAAAGGAGGTATTTTGCCCCCCTAAAACGGGGTGGCTGTCTTGTGAGTCATTACAGCTGTTTTGGACTCCTTTATGAATTTTGCTTTAAGCTCTGAGCAGTGCAAAGAAAGACACCATTATAAATCACACACAACAATAATTAACTTCAAAACAATACTATTATGTTGATTGGATGTAAATTTAGACGTATGAAAAAACTGTGAGCTTGACTTTGGTTGCACCATAACACCTGAAAAAAAGTTATCATAACTTTACCGTATAATATCTCAGACTAGACAAAAATTCAAGAACCACAATACAGGATCCTTTATAATTGGTATCTAACGACCATAAACATATTCAAATTCAGTCCTGATTTAACTAATGAATGTTGTAGAAAATGTTCAAGCCAATGCACATACACCAACATATGGTTTCATGCCCTAAATGTAACAATTTCTATGAGAATCTGTTTCAATAAATAGCAAAAGATATTACATATCCCCATAGATAGATATACACCCTGCATCATTAACCCAATGCTAATCATAGGTAAGTCACTAATAACCAAATATTGGTAAATGGAAAACCCACATCCATTAGAATGGTAGGAAATGTTTTACCATTAATTTGCTTCTGTCCGTGCTCAATTTTATACAATTGAATGAGGTTCCATATTGTCATACTTTTATTTCTGTATTGTGTTAACCTAATGTTTGATAAATTGTAAATTCTTTTTGTATCTATCACTATGTGAAATTTTACAAAAAAGAGCACTGGCAGCCCAAGTGTTGAAGAAAAGGTCTGTTGGTACAGCCCTAAAGAGAGGACAGATGAATAATCAACAAAGCAAAGTACTGACCACTGACTGTGAAAGGCACTTGTTACTCCAGCTCTGTTGGTATCTTCTCCGAAAATGAATTTAGACTTCTGCTAACTTTTATTATAATATACTTCCTGTGGGTTTGAAGGCCAAACCACACCCGTACGTTGTGAGATAGGCAGAGACGGATGACAGAATATAACAGGCAGTGAGACATTTGGTAACACAATCAGAAATGACAGAAATGCAAAAACTACTCAGACATAAAAAACATCTGTATATGCTGTAAGTACAAAAATATCATGTAGAGCTGAGGGTGTGGTGTTTACAAGTCACACTGGCTTCTTTAACCACTTGTATACCAACCTGTAATACCCCTTCATTACCAGGCCATTTTTCAATGTTCAGCGCTGAGATAGTCTGACTCACAGTTACTCATGTAATTGTACCCAATCGAGTTTTATATTTAATGAGTTGAGGCTAAACATGTTGGGTTAAGGGTGTTTTGTGTTTTTTAATTATTTTTCTTTATTTTTCATTATGGGCATTTAGATTTATTGGGGCATTGTGGGTTTAGTTGTTGGTGGAAAAGGGAGATTTTTTTGGGCTGGTGGAGATAGTGGATTGATAGGAGTGCATTATTTTCCCGAGCTGGAAGGTTACTGTGACATATTTGTTTTTGATAGACAGTTGAGCTTTTTAGTAATCACGGTAACCCTCAGTATCGATCCATGCCTTTGGGTTGTGGTATGTGGCCAGGATACAGACCCTACCCTATTCATATCTCCACTAAGACAGGAAAAATGACCAACGGCAGTTAAGGACATAGTTGCTATCTGGTTGTTTATCTCCCTATAATGAAAGCAGCTGAATATCTGTTCCATCGTTTTGTATTTTTGCACTAATTTTGCATTGCCCCATAAGATTATACAGTTGGCATTCTTATGACTTCCTTTTGTTTCCTTATTGATCTAATATTTTTGCCACAATTTTTGGAGAATGAAGAGATATGTATTGAAGGGGTAAACATGGAGCTTGGCAAAAAAAGTGTACTAGGTGCATTTCTGGCGCCCTAGTTAGGCTGCTAGGTAAATTTGTTTTTTGGCTTCATTATAGTGAGTGGATGTCAAGGTCCTACCTTTCCTCAGAGGTTTGCTGCTCCATGTGCTGGCATCCATCTTAGGTTTCTGCAAAGCATGGTGGGAGCCTTTTATGCTTTCAGGCCTCTGCGGTCCCTCCCCCAGAGGGGTGTGGTTGATCACATTTAAGCCTGTTGTCTGCACTTGCTCTTTGCATTCGTGTCCTGTATGTTCCCTTGCAGCAAGCTCTTGTTCTGTTCTCATTGCTCTCCTGGTAACCGACTCGGCTTGGACAAGACTATTCTCTGCTTTAACCCTTTACCTGACCTCCCGTTGCTGAACCCGGCCCGTGACCTGAGTATTCTTTGCCTACCGTCTGGTACTGTCTGCTCCGTTGTTATAGACCCAGCCTGTCTGACCACGCTACAACGTTTTCCCATCAAGCTCCCACCAGCTGTACGCCATTGGCGGTAGTCGTTACCGCAGCTGGGGTTACTCAGGGGCCACGACCTGGTCTCAGGCTGTGTCAAGTCCATCCCCACCATCAGGGGCCCTGGTGAAGGGAAGCCTGAGGCTTAGACTCTGCACTCTGAGGGACTCTGGTCTGTGGGTAGTGGCTGTCGTCAGTCGCTGCATGACCTTACCATAGGCCTGCCTGCCCATTCCATCGCTCCTGCCCTGACAGTGGAGCAATGATTGTGTCAGGGCTCCCGGGTATGACCAGAGGTGTGTGACTGACGCAGGGAAACGCAGACTTCAGATATGTTATAAACTATGTAATTTATTAACACTAACAATACAAACATAAACGCAGTGCAATACTAAAACATAACACAGTGCAAACAAACCAAACCAACCACCCACAGATAACAGTACATACAATGCAAGCGTCGTCAGGCAGGCCGGGTCAATATCAATCGGGCAGGTAGGTACAGGGGGAGCAAGCGGAGAATGGTCAGGGTCACAAGCCAGGTTCAGCAGGTAGCGGGCAGCGTGGTACAGAGGGTCAGGCAGAGGAGAATGGTCAGACAAGCCAGGGATCAGGAGCAGGAGAATGGTCAGACAAGCCAGGGATCAGAGCAGGGTCAGCAGAGAATCAGACAGGAACAGGAACAGGAAACAGGGCCCAGGAGAAACACAACACCAAGGCAGAGTCTGCAGGTCTGAATGTCCCTTAAATACACCAGTATAATTAGTTCCAGGTGTTTGACTGGCTGCAAGGTTGAGTCTCTGATTGCTGGGAGCACCCGCTGGCCAGCCCTGGTACTGCAGCTCATAAGGCAGGCGAGTCCCACTCTTGCTGGCCAGTCCATTCCTGACAGTACCCCCCCCCCCCCAAGGAGCGGCCTCAGGACGCTCCAAACAGTCCTAGCTGGGCAAAATGTTCCACCGCCCGGGTCTGGTAACTGGCGGGATATCAAAGACTGGCACACCGGGCAGGACTCCGGGCAGCGGCACACCGGGCAGAGGCACATCGGGCTGGACTCCGGGCAGAGGCACATCGGGCTGGACTCCGGGCAGAGGCACATCGGGCTGGACTCCGGGCAGAGGCACATCGGGCTGGACTCCGGGCAGAGGCACATCGGGCTGGACTCCGGGCAGAGCCACATCGGGCTGGACTCCGGGCAGAGGCACATTGGATTACCAGGCGAAGCAGCAGGCATCGGGCCCCCAGGCGGGGGTGACAGGCATCGGGCCCCCAAGCGCAGCGGCGGGCGCCGGGCCCCCAGGAGGGGCGACAGGCATCGGGCCCCCAAGCGTTGCGGCGGGCACCGGGCCCCCAGGAGGGGCGACAGGCATCGGGCCCCCCGGCGAGGCAACAGGCATCGGGCCCCCTGGCGGGGCGACAGGTATCGGGCCCCCCGCGGGGCGACAGGCATCGGGCCCCCAAGCGGAGCGGGCGGGCGCCGGGCCCCCAGGAGGGGCGACAGGCATCGGGCCCCCCGGCGGGGCGACAGGCATCGGGCCCCCCGGCGGGGCGACAGGCGGCGGGGGCGGGCACGCCGGGCCCCCAGGAGGGGCAACAGGCATCGGGCCCCCAGGCGGGGCGACAGGCATCGAGCCCCCAGGCGGGGCGACAGGCATCGGGCCCCCAGGCAGGGCGACAGGCATCGGGCCCCCAGGCGGAGCGGCGGGCGCCGGACCCCCAGGCGGAGCGACAGATCTCGGGCCCCCAGGCAGAGCGGCGGGCACCGAGTCACCAGGCACGACTGCGGGCACCGAGTCGTCTGGCAAGACTGCGGGCACCGAGTTGTCTGGCAAGACTGCGGGCACTGCGGGCACCGAGTCGTCTGGCAAGACTGCGGGCACCGAGTCAACTGGCGGAACAGCGGGCATCGAGTCAACTGGTGGAACAGCGGGCTTCGAGTCGTCTGGAAAGACTGCGGGCACCGAGTCGTCTGGCAAGACTGCGGGCACCGAGTCGTCTGGCAAGACTGCGGGCACCGAGTCGTCTGGCAAGACTGCGGGCACCGAGTCAACTGGTGGAACAGCGGGCATCGAGTCAACTGGCGGAACAGCGGGCTTCGAGTCGTCTGGCAAGACTGCGGGGCACCGAGTCGTCTGGCAAGACTGCGGGCACCGAGTCGTCTGGCAAGACTGCGGGCACCGAGTCATCTGGCAAGACTGCGGGCACCGAGTCGTCTGGCGGAACAGCGGGCATCGAGTCAACTGGCGGAACAGCGGGCACCGAGTCGTCTGGCAAGACTGCGGGCACCGAATCACCAGGCACAACAGTGGACTCTGACTCAATTGGCACGACAGCGGGCACCGGGTCATCAGGTACCGGATTGTCTGGCTCGACAGCGGGCATCGGGTCACCAGGTATGACAGCGGGCACTGGGTCACCAGGCATCAGGTCATTTGGCTTGCCAGCGGGCACCGCGTCATCTGGCAAGGCAGTGGGCACCGGGTCACCAGGCATTGGATCGTCTGGCTCGACAGTGGGCATCGGGTCACCAGGTATGACAGCGGGCACTGGGTCACCAGGCATCAGGTCATTTAGCTCGCCAGCGGGCACCGCGTCATCTGGCAAGGCAGTGGGCACCGAGTCACCAGGCACGACAGTGGGCTCTGAGTCAACTGGCATGACAGCGGGCACCGGGTCATCAGGTACCGGATTGTCTGGCTCGACAGCAGGCATCGGGTCACCAGGCCTAATAGGATCATCAGGCTGGATCAGTTCATCATGCTGGGTAGAGGCATCAGGCTGAATGCAGGCATCCGGCTGAGTAAAGGCATCAGGCTGAGTAGAGGCATCAGGCTGAGTAGAGGCTTCAGGCTGAGTAGAGGCTTCAGGCTGAGTAGAGGCTTCAGGCTGAGTAGAGGCTTCAGGCTGAAGAGAGGCATCAGGCTGAGTACAGGCATCAGGCTGAGTAGAGGCATCAGGCTGAGTAGAGGCTTCAGGCTGAGTAGAGGCTTCAGGCTGAGTAGAGGCTTCAGGCTGAACCACGGAAGGCAGGTTCACCGGTTTGGATACTGGCAGGATGTTATTGGTTGGAAAGAATTTTCGCTTTTTTCTGGTTTTAACTACTGGAGCACTGCAAGTAAACGCAGGTCTGCAAACGAATGGAGCAGCTGGAGACAGAGAAGAGCTGGAGGATGGGACAGAGGAGTGAGCAGTTGCTACAGAGGGCTTTTTTACAGGGTTAAAGGCAGGATAGGTGCAGCGAGTGGGAACAGGGTACTGACATGCGGTAGATAGCCAAGTATACTGGGCTGTAACTGGAGGAGCTGTTGGGAATACAGGAGTAGAGCTTTGAGGAAATAGATTAGAAGCAGGACTGAGGCTGGGTGCAACAAATCTGTCCATGTCTGCAGTATGGGTTGAACAAAGCTGAGCTTACACAAAGCCTGTCTGACCAAAGACTGCACTGCGTTTATACAATCTCTTAGTACCTGTGGTGAACATGTGGAATAACGCTCCAGAAAGTAACCCACATCATCCTCTAATAACCACACCAGGGACTCTACCTGGTCTGCACTAAATGGTGGCAAAAA